TCTCGTGGCTAGGCGGTCGTGTGTGCCAAGTTTCGTGCCAATCCGACCCCATTAGGCATATTTGATTATGAACTATTCATGTTTTCATCAAAAATTTAGTTAGTATGAACTAACAATGTTTTCATGAATCATTTCAGAAAAAGAAGAAAAACCCATATCAGAGATGAAGGGGTTTAGTCTGAAAAACAAAGAATCTGGATCTACAATCAGAGTGCAAAGCAAACAGCAGATCAACCTGTCAATTTCTAGCACATGTAAAGACCTCCTCATTCACCCTAGTGATAATGGGCACTTACAACTCCAATGGAGAAGGAGATAGCTGATGGAATCAATAGGATAAGAGATGAATGTCTATTATGTAGTTCTAAAATCCAAAATATACATATAAATTGAAATTGTAGCTCATCGTGCTTCGTTGTCGCCTACATTTATCTTGATTGGTTCGTGCACAGCCAACCACTTTTGCCGATCAATTCCTTCAATGTGCATCGGTTGCTCATTACCAGTGTCTTGGTTTCTGTCAAGTTCATGGATGATATGCGAGTTCTCTTCACTTTTCTTCTTCTTTTTTTTTATCTTTTTTTTTTTAAGTAGTGATTGAAATTCTTTGATCTATTCTTGTGGTTATACATGAATTATTTAGTTTTTTAGTTAGCAAAGTGGATTTAGATGTTAATTGTATTGAAGTTTGTTTTTTTGTTGGGAGCTTCCTCTATCAATTAAACTTAATATTTAAAAAAAAAATTCAAATTTTAAAATGTGTAGATTTGATTCATTACGTGTGATTCACACTATGCTAAATTTAAATACTCCTACATACATTAATTGAAATTCTTATGTATATACATTTCTAAAGTTAAATTGGGCTGTCATATGAATTTGTATCCCTCTTCAATTTGATCATTCTTTTTTTCTATTTTCATTCAATTGAATTCTAGGTTTATACTTCTTTGATTTTTTTTTTTTTTTAAATTTCTCTTGTGAATTGACTTTCCTTAATTTATTTATTTCCTTATATCCTTTTTTTCTTCTATTGCCATCCAATGAATAATATCTTCTTTTTTTTTTTTACATGTATATTTACATATGTTTGATTATTATCTTCTTTCAAAAGTGGGTAATCATATATTTATATTTTATTTTTGTTAAGGCCAGGAGCTAAAGTTCTGTTCTGTTTTGTTTTTTTGGCAAACAATATAATTTTTAAAGTTCTGTTTAAACACACACAAAAAAAGAATCTGGTGAGTCCACAACAATCATGAAGTGAATACAAATAACAAAGCTAAGTGAAAGTAATAATAAATCTAGGTTAATTCTACAAACACATTAATCTGATCATAAAAGTGGTTACCCATAGCATTGTGAGTGTTTTGTGTTTAATTTTATGATTTAATAATATATAAATTATATAAAATATATTAATTATTACGCCGAGCCTAGCCGGGCTCAAAGACTAATATTTTCAATCTCAATCCATTTAATACGGAGACCTAAAAGTTAAGTTTAGCTTAGCTTAGCCTTACGAATTTATATTACATATCAATCCTAGCTTCCTAAAAAGTTTGTTAGATCATGCTCACCCACCCCTACTCTAAGTACAGCCCACTCTTACTTGTAAACAATTTAATATTTTCATTGGAACACTTAGTCACTTAATAAATTAACAAAACTTGTAACAAATAAAATTAAATCTTATTTCTTATCATTTATTTTCCATTAGTAATACACATTTAACATTCCATCAGAGATGACTCTTAAACAAACCAAACTACTTTGTTGGAGATCAAATCAATAAATTTATATATGTACTATAAAAAAAATCAAGTTATTGAAACTCGACTCGTATTTAACTCGTTAAAAATTCATTCGAGATTGACTCGTTAAAAATCAACGAAGCACGATGAGCTACAATTTCAATTTATATGTATATTTTGGATTTTAGAACTGCATAATAGACATTCATCTCTTATCCTATTGATTCCATCAGCTATCTCCTTCTCCATTGGAGTTGTAAGTGCCCATTATCACTATGTCTGATGTGGTACGTAAGAGGACATCAGCGGCACCACCATCAAAGGAGGCATCACATCGACCACTATTAGTGGCACCACCATTAGAGGAGGCATCACAGCGAGCACTATTAGTGCCACCGCATCGACCACCATTAGTGGTACCACAGCAGCTATCATCTACTCAGCCTCCACGCCTACCATTGGTGCGTCCACCATCAGTGGCACCACCATTAGAGGAGGCATCAGAGCGAGCACCATTAGTGCCACCGCATCGACCACCATTAGTGGCACCACAACAGCTATCATCTACTCAGCCTCCACGCCTACCATTGGTGCGTCCACCATCAGTGGCACCACCATTAGAGGAGGCATCACAGCGAGCACCATCAGAGGAGCCATTAGTGCCACTGCATCGACCCCTATCAGTGGCACCGCAGCAGCTATCATCCCGACTGGAGTCATCGACTTATGAGCCATCCGCAGGTATATAATTTTGCTTTGATTTGTATGAAAATTATTTAAATATATATTTATTTGTTCTCATTACATATAACTTGTTTATTTTCATTGTATTTTTCAGACCCTTCGTCGTCTTCACAGCCTCCCTCAGGTATAAGAAATTGATTTGTATTGACATTATTTAAATTTGCATTTGTTTATTCTTATTGTATCTCGCAGGTCATGTTAGTTCTTCATCAACCTCGAGTAGGCGTGGTAGAGGATGTGCCAAAGGCATTAGAGAGTTGGGTACTGGTACAAAGTTGGACATACAATTTGATGAAAATTACTGTCCAAAAGAGGATAACGTGTCTAAGTTAACTACTAAACTTGGCATTATTGTGCGAAATGGTAACATTGTTCCTCTTACATTTCTTGACTGGAACACTGTGCCTGATGACATTCTTGATGCTATCTGGAAGGATGTGAAGGTAAAAGTATATTTTTGTCCAAAAATTGAAATTCTAAAATTGTGTTATTATTATTTAAATTTTGAAATTGTGTTTTATAGGACAATTTGAATATATGTCCAGAGGAGTACAAGCCAATCTGCATAAAAAAACTATAACAGCATATGGAAGGATCACAAGAATAAGATTAAGTCTAAGTATTTCAAGCCTAGAAGCGAAGATCCTAATCTAAAGGATGATGCTCCTTTGCACATTGTGCCAAGCCAGTGGGAAGAACTTGTGGAGTATTGGCGTACTTCCGATGCTGAGGTATACAAATAAGTTATATGTATGATATGTAAACATAGAAATCATATTTATATACTAACATTTGTTGAACCTGTTATAGAAAATTGCAACTAGGAATGCTAAAAATTGGCGAGCTCACGGCATAGCTCATACCACAGGGCGTACTACTTTCGCTCAGATACGGTATGAGGTTTATATTTTATTGTTTTATTTTTGTATATAAATAACCATTGTATATTTGCAAATTATTTGGATTCTAATTTTCATATTTCTAAAAAAATGTAGATGACCAATAAGGGGGAGTCTACAGATAAGATGAATGTTTGGCTTATGACACGTAGAGCAGACGACCCAAAGGTTATCCAGACCTTGGTAGTTTCCAAACACATTTGATTATATTTAAAGTTTATTTTTTATTTTTTGTGTATCAACCATCTTAATTTGGCATATACTTGTATATTTTATTCAATACAGGATGAGTTTAATGCCCAACTCTCTATGCTACCTGAGGATTGTCGGACTGTGGAGGCTAGGAATGCCATTTTCCATGAGTTGATAGGTCATGACAATCATGGATATTGTCGCACATATGGGAGAACTGTGCCTCGGAGAACAGTGTATAAAGATGGTGCTGGGCCATCACAGTCAGCACCCCAGCCATCGACTATTGTTCAGATCACCCAGCAGGTTCGTGCGGAGCTACGGGATGAGTTGAGGGAGGAGCTACGAGCAGAGTTCTCTGCACATTTACAGCAGCTGAGAGCTGAGATGATGGCCTTTATGTCACAGGGGGCAAGTGTGGATCCCAACAGACAGGTTCGATATAAATTAAATTGCTTGATAGTTAAATTTTCACACAACATTATGTATAAAATTCGAATATGATTAACACATTATGCATTGACTATCATAGGCTCCTGATGCATCGAGTGGCCACCGGACATTTAGGGAATCTGCAGAAGACGAGAATTCATATACACCACCACCAGAAGATCAGGTATAAAATGTATCTTTACATTCTAAGCTAAAATGTATCTTTCAATTATTTGCATTGTAAGCTAAGAGACTTGTGGGAGAAGACGGGACTCCAATGGAGTTCCCGGTTTGGGAGTTAGAGCCCTAATTCGGTCTAGGCAAACTAGTTTCATAATAAACTTGAATTCGAGGTGTTATGGCCCCAAAATCACCAAACTGGGTTGGATTGGCACAAAACTCAGCACGAAACTTGGCACACACGACCGCCTAGGCACGAGAGACTTATGGGAGAAGACGGGACTCCAATGGGGTTCCTGGTTTGGGAGTTAGAGCTCTATTTCGGTCTAGGCAAACTAGTTTCTTAAGAAACTTGAATTCGAGGTGTTGACGCCCCAAAATCATTAAACGGGGTCGGATTGGCACGAAACTTGGCACACACGACCGCCTAGGCACGAGAGACTTGTGGAAGAAGACGGGACTCCAATCGGGTTCCCGGTTTGGGAGTTAGAGCCCTATTTCGGTCTAGGCAAACTAATTCCTTAAGAAACTTGAATTCGAGGTGTTGACGTACCAAAATCACCAAACGGGGTCGGATTGGCACGAAACTTGGCACACACGACCGTTTAGGCACGAGAGACTTGTAGGAGAAGACGGGACTCCAATCGGGTTCCCGGTTTGGGAGTTAGAGCCCTATTTCGGTCTAAGCAAACTAGTTTCTTAAGAAACTTGAATTCGAGGTGTTGATGCCCTAAAATCATTAAACGGGGTCAGATTGGCACGAAACTTGGCACACACGACAGCCTAGGCACAAGAGACTTGTGGGAGAATACGGGACTCCAATCGGGTTCCCGGTTTGGGAGTTAGAGCCCTATTTCGGTCTAGGCAAACTAGTTCTTTAAGAAACTTGAATTCGAGGTGTTGACGCACCAAAATCACCAAAACGGGTCGATTTGGCACGAAACTTGGCACACACGACCGTCTAGGAACGATAGACTTGTGGGAGAAGACAGGACTCCAATCGGGTTCCCGGTTTGGGAGTTAGAGCCCTATTTCGGTCTAGGCAAACTAGTTCCTTACGAAATTTGAATTCGAGGTATTGACGCCCCAAAATCACCAAACGGGGTCAGATTGACACGAAACTTGGCACACACGACCGCCTAGGCACGAGAGACTTGTGGGAGAAGACGGGACTCCAATCGGGTTCTCGGTTTGGGAGTTAGAGCCCTATTTTGGTCTCGGCAAACTAGTTCCTTAAGAAACTTGAATTCGAGGTGTTGACGCAACAAAATCACCAAACGGGGTCGGATTGGCACGAAACTTGGCACACACAACCGCCTAGGCACGTGAGACTTGTGGAAGAAGACGGGACTCCAATCGGATTCCCGATTTGGGAGTTAGAGCCCTATTTCGGTCTAGGCAAACTAGTTCCTTAAGAAACTTGAATTCGAGGTGTTGACGCACCAAAATCACCAAACGGGTTCGGATTGGCACGAAACTTGGCACATACGACCGCCTAGGAACGAGAGACTTGTGGGAGAAGACGAGACTCCAATCGGGTTCCCGGTTTGGGAGTTAGAGCCCTATTTCGGTCTAGGCAAACTAGTTCCTTAAGAAACTTGAATTCGAGGTGTTGACGCACCAAAATCACCAAACGGGGTCGGATTGGCACGAAACTTGGCACACACGACCACCTAGGCACGAGAGACTTGTGGGAGAAGACGGGGCTCGAATCAGGTTCCTGGTTTGGGAGTTAGGGTCGGATTTCTGTCTAGCCAAAATTATTTACTTAACTATCTTTGTAATTATATAGTAGTTAATTTTTTATGTTTTTCTGTAATTAAAATATTAACACATAATTATATTGTCATTAATTATTTTCATTTTTTATTTTCAGATATTTCCTGAGTAGTAGTTTGCTTCATGTGGAATGCAGGCGTGTGAAAATGTTGACAAACTTTTGTTTTTGTAACCCACGGAAGAATCATGACGAATACTTTTACTTTTGATTTACCTTATTTAGATTTGTGAACATTATGTATGTATTATGCAACATTATGTGGTGGGATAATTTTGATGATGTGTTGTTATGAATGGAAGAATACTTTAATTATGGATGGATTTTTATTTATATGCAGGAATTTTTATATTATTATATAATTATCAGTCTTTTTTTTAGTTATTTTCATTTAATACAGGTAATTTTCATATTTTTAGGAATTGTGTTGCAGTTTTTTTTTTTTTTTTTTTTTTAAGACGGTATTATATTGTCTCAAAAAGGGTTTTTTGCGACGGTAGTATAGCCGTCGCCAAAGATATTGGCATTAGTGTTAATTAGAAGAAAAGGCTTTAGCAACGGTACACTTAACCGTCGCTAATATTATTTTTGTCGACGGCATTTTTACCGTTGCAAATAACCATTTAGCGACGGCATTTTTTGCGGTCTCAAATAAAACCTTTAGCGACGGTATTTTACTGTCGCAAATAACCTTTTTAGCGACGGAACCAGAGTGCCGTCTCAAAAACTTCAAATTTTTCCACATTAATAGCGACAGTATTTTGCCGTCACTAAAAGGCACTTTTGCCGTCGCCTATATTTTGCGACGGCGTCACACCGTCGCTAAAGGGCTTTAGCAACCCCTTTTGTTGTGACCCCCCTATTACCGTCGCTAAAAGCTCTCAACCGTCGCAAAAAAGCTTTTGAGACGGGGTTTGGTGTATTTGCGACGGTATTTTACCGTCGCAAAAAAGCAAATTTTTTGTAGTGACATTCTGAGGTGATGGAACCTATATCATTCCTTTCATTTAGCACATCGGCTAAGTTCGCTTTATCCTTCATTACCGAGGTCATCATTTGTCGGCTCAAATATAACCAAGACTTAGTCTGTTTTCATCAATGCTTTAGAACCAAAAAACCAAGTTTTGTTCAAGTTTCACAACCGAGATCGTCCTCCTAGCTGAGGTCCTGCCCCACTAAATGAAGAACTCCAAGAGTTTCATCAAGCGTATAAGTTGTCACACACAGCAACTCAACCGTTTTTGCCACGCGTCTTTCCCCTACTAAGTCGTGCCTGACACGCGCCATTAAGTCGCATCGCACTTGCTTGCGCCGTCTGACAAACACGTCGTCCAAGGCACACTAAATGTGTTTTTGCCGCCATTTCGTGTGTTTGATCAAAATCACTTCTCTCTCTCCGTCTTTAAGCTTTCTCTCTCTAACTTTCTCTAATTCTCCTATTGCTTCAAGCTCTAAGCTCTCTGCAATCACCGTCGTTCACCTTCTCTGGCGAGGTTTTTGCTGATCTTTTCCGTTTGCTGCCATCATCTGACTTCGGCGTACTCAACACCAGCTTCATTTTTCTTCGGTGAGTTACTATTTCCTCATTTATTAGTCTGTGTTTTTCTTTGTACCTTGTACTTTTTTCTTACTTTTTGAAACAATGAAAGCTTTAATTT